ACGGATGAATACTGAACTAAAGACAAATTTCCGAAAGTCAGCAACCTCCATACAAGGACATATTGGTAGAAAATGCTGGGTGTCGGATAGTCCAATAGTAAAATTGCCCTATAAGACTGCCAAAGCACGAATGTCAGGAAATCCTGACTACCGAATGTTTCGAAGAATTGCAATGGCTGCAGGACTGCACGGTGGGGCATAAACTGCTGTTGGACCGATATGGTAATGAGAGAGCATATAATTTTATTGCGCATGATAAATATCATACAGACTACATATAAAATTGGTTTTTCCTTTATACAAGAAGAAAAAATCGTGTAGAAATACTATCAAATATTTTTCACAATTATTTTCATATTTTTCATTAAAGATTTGTAAATATGGTAGTTTTTTGCAAATCTGCTAATAATAGAAGACAGTAATAGAAGCCACCCCTTTTTCCATCGTCTAAGTCCATATATTGCTGGTCCATCTATAAGTTCAAAATCTTTTCTGACCGTATCAGTCCATGTATTGACAAGGGTGGTCAAAGGCAAATAGCCTCTTAGTATCCTCCACTCTCATTGGCCATGTTTCAGAGCCATATAGCAAGATCGAAGAAATCATTGGGAATCACGGCTATATAGATGCGGACTTCAGTTTTAATGGTAATTTCGTGACAGTTCCATAAAGATTTCGTCAGCCGGAAGAACGCATTTCTAACGCATACTGATCCGGGCTGTAATATCGTCTTTTACCTGCCATTGTATAAATTTATTATATAATTTATTGCGTAGTTTATACTTTTTTAAGAAAAAAGATGACATTATTATCCATTTAAAAATTAAAATAATAATTTTAGATATGAAATTTTAAGTAAAAAGCAAATTTTCAAACAAAATTTTTATATATCCAATTTTAAATTGCAATAATCGTTTTAATTACGTTAAATTCCCGTGCTGCACTCCCAATTGTATTTTTATTTATTTAATTTTTTATCGTTCTAATAGCGAGTGGGGCGAGTATAACCATAAATAGCGAACATTTTCTTTTGTATAGAAAAATGAGACCCCTCTGGTGAAAATGTCCAATTTTAATGGCCACTGGAATGAGTGCAACCAGAAAGAGTGAATTCTGGAATATTTTGCGAAATAATTTCTTTAAATTTTAATAAATTATTTTTTAAACTTTCTTATATTTTATAATTTTCTTATCGATTTATATCAATTATATTGCAAAAAAAATTACAAAATAACAAAAAAATGACAAAATTGCTGAAAAAAAAGCAACGTTATATTATTTGAAATCTGCTTCATATCGCAGAACCCTCGATCTTTAAGCCATAAGTTTTGTCGCCGCTACCAAGGACAATAATTTTTAGGCGAGGCCACAAAATACAGGACCGTGCGTTGGGACCGCAATTTTTATTCGAATTGGGGACGTCCTTTATTCAGCACTTTCGATGAATTTTGGCGAGTGGGATTTTTTTTTTTTTTTCGACTGATTTATTTGATTTTTTAATTTATTTATTGATAAAAGTTTTAAATAAAAATATATTGAAATTTTTATTTTATAGTTTAAAAAACTTCGCGAAATAATTTTAAATTTTCAGGTAAATTTTAAAAAAATTCTATAAAATTATTTATTTTTATTTCCTATTTATCTGAATTTGGTTTGTTTTTTTCTTACAAATAATCAGTTAGTTCACTATTCTTTCTTTTTCTTTTTTACGTTTTCCATTTGTCATTCGACTCGTTGCGTTGGCCAAATTTTTTTAGGCCAAACAAATTTTGCTTGAGAATTTTACTCGTTGAATAGAAACGTAAGTAAGTAAATATTATTCGGGCAAATTCTAATATTATTTGAACCGTCTTTAATGCCATAACGATTAATGGTGATCAGCATTGTGGGAAACAGCATCAAATGCTTTGGCTAAATCTAGCAATGACCAACTGAACTACTATCTCCCTTATTGTTATTATATTAATTGTTATTATTAATTATTTTTATTATTATTGCCAACTATCATACTTAATTATAATAATCTTTATTACTGTATTATTTTGTTGTTTTTACTTTTATTATTTTATCATTCGTTATAATTTGTCTTTTTTATTATTATTACTCATTAATATTATTATTATTCTAATGATTGATTCTTTTTTTTTTGATTTTAGTGCGATTAATTCTTAAAGAATTGCTACTGAATCGTTATTTAAGAAAATCGTTCTTTTGCCTGAACAATTTACGACTTATACGTGAGAACCATGTGTCAAAATTTTGTTATTACTCTGGCCATTTAACAATTTTTTTTTACTTATCAATGTTTCAGTTCATTTTATTTTGTGAATTTGTAAAAAGATGGATTTGGATGTGAGCGGTGAAAACTATGTTAACGATACTTCAGTGGAAATGGCATGGGCTTGCAAGGTTAATTATTTCAAAGAAAAATTCACATTATTAAATTCATATTAAAGTTATTTATTATTTAATTTGTGAGATATGAAAAAATTGGTGATATTGGCTATCTTCAAGTAGTAGCTTACTGGTAAAATTTACCCGCTGGATAAGTTAGCGGAGCGAATTTAATCAAAAAGTGGTGAGTACCTTTTAAAGAACTGAAAAATTAGGCGATAATTTAATATTTATGATTTTTCTAGGCAGTTGAACGTGCGCATATTCATATGAATTTAATTCTGAATAGTGATACTACGAATTTAACTCTTCATAAACTTCAAGATTCTCTTTATAATGAATTTCGACGCCTATTTCCCGAAATGAACGTGGAAACCGTAAGTGCTGAAATAAATAAAGAAAAATATTTATTATGTAATATTTTGTTTATTTGCATTAATGAATATAGTTTCGATGTATAAAAAATTTGTCATAGAATCGTTTTTAACCATTTTTGATTTATTTTAATTCGATAAGTTTAAAAATTTGATAAGTTTTTCTATTTTTATTTATAGTTTTAACTTCTTTAATTTTGTTAAATTTAAAAGTTCACTCATTGATCCCTTTTTTTTCCAATAATCCAACCATTTTTCCATAGAAAAAAACATTTTCTTATGAATAAAATTTTTCTTATATTTTCTTGAATTTTTAATTTATGATTTTAGCTTGATTTGAATTTGAATTTGTGCATTTTATCTTTATCATTATATTTTTATTAATTTATCTAAGAAAACTTTTTAACCACTATTTAAAATATAAAAAAAATATATTTGTGAAATTGGAACGAAATAAAACTATTAGTAGACACATAATAAATAAAGCAGATATAAATAAATAGAAATATTACTATATTTATAAGTAGTGAAATCACCAAACCAGAAAAGGTCAATGGTGATTAAAAGAAGAAGCAACAAATAGAAGTTATTCTGAGATAATTCCATATCTTATATGATATTATTTTTTGAATAATTTTTAAATCAATTACTTGAAATTGTTGAAAAAGAATTGTAGGGAACTGTGGGTACTTAAATTATTTATTTTTAATTTATTTAAATTATTAATTATTAACTAAATTAATTAATTTTGATTTAATTTTGATTAATGTAGATTTATAATTTTTATCGGAATCAAGGTCTTAATTTTTTTTCTTTAATTGCTAGTTAGTAAGCATATGGTTAGCAATAATTTTATTAATTAGGTTTGTTCCCCTATTACTGTTCCCTTATTTGAAATTTCGGCTAAGAAAATTAGAATTATGGCGATAGAATTACAGATTGATCATTACCATTTAGATTTTTTAATGATAGGCTTGATCGTGTCGAAGACAAAAATCTTGTTTTTTAAAACCATTGAATTATTTTCTCAGTTTTCTCAGTTCTGGCAGCATTGTCCACAGGAAATCTACATATAGACCAGACTACCCGAGATCGATTCCAGATGAGAATGAAAAATCATTGAATGATCGACCAAGATCTTGCATGGCTTTCCAGTTCGGACGGAGGAACAAGTACTGTCAATCAACCAGATATCGCTTTTTTTTTGGAAGAAAGAAGAACCCATTATGGCTCCGCTGGCTTATCGCACTAGACTATCGCATTGATTATTGGACAGGTTTATTCCTGGAAGTAGTATTAGCATCGGTAATGCGAAATGAACACAGTTCATTGAACCATTTTATTTTCCGTTTGGCGACAGTGCTGTATCAAAACGCATTAAAAAATGCATTAGTAGTAAGATGTCGTGCTGAATTTCTAAACTCCTAGGCCCCTGGCAACCAGAGACCAACGTGGAAATTGATGATGGTCTATATCACCCACAAGGAATGAGAAGGAAATTTTTTAATTAGTCTTATAAATTTATATCGCATTCAGAATAAGAATAAGAAACTTTTAGATATTGCGCTTAAAAATAAAATTTAAAAAATATAATGGCCAAATTTTTTTTTTCTAATAGCTCGCACCATTACTGGTTAGGCCCATGTAGAAATTGATGATGTTCTACAAGGTCAAGACATTTCCGAGTGGTGCGGTCTAATGCCATCTTTGACAGTAATAGAAGCCATTCTTTTTTCCATCGTCTAAGTCTATTGCTGGTCCATCCATACGTTCAAAATTTTTCCTGACCGTATAAGTCCAGGTCTTGATTGGCCCCTCGCTTTTGACGCCATTCAATAGTATAATTGTATATACCATGGTTTAGCAAGTAACGAGATATGCGACAGCTCTTTTGGTGAACGTTGGAGAACGTGCCTAATCGAAGGCGATGCTCTGTAATAATATTATTAATACAAGTGGTATTTGAATGAAAATAAGTGTGATCTTGTGGTATTTTATCCGTTCGACGGACCTGTAAAATGTATCGTAGACAAGAATGGTCAAAATAGATAACTTCTTTATGTCCTCCACTCTCAAAAATGGCCAAATTATGATAAAGAATTATGATTTGATAAAGAAAATCAAAGAATGAATAATTTTTTTAGGTCTCTGAAGTGGAATTAAAAGGAACGAATAAAGAAATTTGGCGTAATTACTGTGAATTTTTCAAAGAAACGGTTGACGAATACAATTTAGGAACAATTTTAAGAATTCGTGCAGACGGTGCATATAGTGAAGAAAATAGTATAATTGTACCTAAGGTAAAACTTTTCAAAAAAGTAATTTGTGATATTTTGAGAGTGGTGTTTTTATTCTTTTTCAAGAAAGGTGATGAGAATTCAATAAGATTTAAAATTCACCAGAATGTCGTCTTTTCAATGACATCGACGATAATACTCCTCTTAAATATATCTTCAATTGTGTAGATCAATTTCCAATTTGTTTGAATTCTAGTTCGCATTGATGGGAATCGCAAAATGATATATATTTTCTAATAAATAGAAGATAAAAGATAAGTAACGGAAGATAACGGATCGAATATATCATTTTTGCATTTATCAGCTTATGCGAATTTTTTTATCATTTTTCATTACTTTTTTTTGATAATTTATAGGCGATATTTTTGGCGATAGAGATTGCTCGAAATAAAGAAGGTATCAATGGTAAATTGAAACAAAAAATTATAGAAGAAAATAAACAGGTCAATTTGGGCATCTAATGTAGTTTTTTTTGGGCTCTTCAAATTTTTGACCGACTGAAATAAAATAAGATATTTATTTCAACGAAGAAGAAAATAAAAGCGTCGCTATAAATTCCAAAAAGAGAAATATAAACTCTTTCATAAAAATTATTTTTATCATAGTTATCAGTGATTAATATTCAATGTTTTATTCGTACATTTTGAATATTTTAGAAAAATAAAGAATTTTTTTCCGCGACTTATATGGAATATTTGGTTATTTGACCAATTGAGGCTTATGCTGTTAAATGTTTAATTTTTCATTGAATTTTATTTCTTCCAATTTTTTATTTAATGAAATTTTGCTTTCTTTATCGTTTATTTGCGTTATTTTTTTTTAAAATCCAAATTTGACTAATATTTTTTAGGATTTATTAACGGAGAAAGTATTTTTATCAAATATTTCTTTGTCATTTCTATTGGTATTTATTAGGTTTATTAAACTATATTTATTTTCTTGTATTAGTTACTATGTCTCAAATTGGATTTCCTTCTTCTACAAATCCAACTTCTACCACTACTGTATCTTCTACTGGTTTATTTGGAACATCGTCGACTTCTAGTGGCACTGGTATTTTCGGCTCATCTTCATCGAAACGATTGTTTGAGCTACCAACAACAACTGCAGCTTCTGGAGGTGATTTTTATTTTTTTTTCTTTAAATTCTTTCTTTTAAATTAAAGTTTTCTTTAAATTTAAACTTTTTTCCTTTATTGAATTCATTTAATTAATTGATATAATAGATTTTATTCTATTATGTAATAAAATCTTTTAATTATTAATTTTTATATTTTAATATATTACAATATATTATAAAATTTTTATAATATTTAATTATATATTTAATTACGTATCTGTTTTTAAGGCTTAGGCCATTTTTTTCTTATATTTTTTCTTTATTGAAAGATTTGTTTTAAGGATTGAGCACTGGTGCACCGAATCTCGGATCTGTGGCGTCGACTACAACTACTAATATTTTTTCTAATTTTGGTACAACAACTACTGTAGGATCAGGTTATTTCCAGTTTATTTAAGACTTTGACTTAAGTTTTTTTCTAATTAATAAAGAACGAAATGGTTCTATTGTTTGTTGCTCAGTTCGATGCGCAGATGCTGAGATTTTACTCTTCGCAGGAATAAGGTCCTAAAATCCGATATGTTGGCGACTCACCTGTATTTCTATCGCCAAGCGATTCCCTGGCACATTTGTCCAGTGGAGCGAGTCTATTGTGAAGGCATTTAAAAAAAGAAAAAAGAAATTTCATGATAATCATTATTGTAATTATTTTTTTCTATAGTTTCAACATTTGGTGCAGTTCCATCTACGGCTTCTGCTTTTCCTTCAGCACCACAGTCATCGACTAGATTATTTGGATCTCTTCCCACCAGTACTACAATTCCTGCTACAGTTACACCATTCAGTACCACTACCTTTCCTCAAAAGCAAGCTGAAGGCGGTGAAGAATATTCAATATTTTTAATCGTATGAAAAATTAGTTTTTTGGTTGCAAATTTTTTGTCTACCAGAATTATCTGATAATAATGTTTTTTCTAATAATAGTGAATAAACCCTTTTTCTATTTTATATTTCTTATTTTTTTATGTAATTCTTATTTCTAATGAAAAACCTTTATCCTCTGGTATAAAATGAGTAAATAATTTAAGCCATTTTCATGACTTTCAAATTTCTCTTGTTTTAGGATTATTTAGTTCAAATATTTCCTCTAATCAAGCGGGAAAGCTGTTTGGTTCGACTAATACAGCTACAGCAACTCCATCAGTTGGTCTTGGCGGAACGAGTAGTCTTACATTTGGAGGTGGTGGTCCCACTGCTGGAGCAGATCCTGGAACTGGTGTTGCTGGTGTTGCAGCAGCTGGCAACCCTATGGAAGTTGAAGTGCCTCAACCGCTTATGGATTTGATAAGTCAGCTCAAGTAATTGTTTGTGTAATATCAAGAATGAATTTTTTCTAATTATCCGAATTTTTGAATTTTTAATGATTTCTAAATAGCAGAATTTTTTTTGAACGAAAAAATGAATGGAGAAAATAGATTTTATTATTTCAGAAAGCGTATTTCAAGAAATAAGGAGCTTTCTGATGAGTTCTCGATGAACAGTGTTGATCATTGTCTGAAAATTGAAGATAATTTGGATGAATTAAAAAAAATTTGTGTTAAACAATTAGCTACACTTAATTCTTGTAGTAAAAAAGCAGCGGGTTTGTTTCTTTCTATTTCATTCAATATTGGTGTTTAAATTTTGGTTCTTCACAAAATTTTTAAGAAATGATCATAAAAGATAGGTAATTAAAGGTTAATATGAGATATTAATTATAGTTTTTGCATTTATTTTTTTTTATTCTTAAAGTAATTTTAGATGTTTTGAGAAATAAAATTTTTTTCTCTAGCACTGATATTTTTTGCAGAATTAGGAGAAAGAACTGAAAGAGATTTCCGCGCTTCTGAACAACTACAACGACGTTATCGTGAAATGGTGAAAAATCCTCAATATGGACAAAATCAGGCTTTGGAATATTTGCAATCAAACTGTAGTGATTATGATACATTAATTATGGATTTTCGTGAACGTTTAGATCGTATTAACGAAGTTCTTCAGCAACGTCTTCTTACTGATCAAGCTGTATGGATTTATTTGCTTATTTGTTTCCCTTTGCTAGTTTGGTTTCATTTGTTTCATAAATTTCTTCTTTATTTTTATTTTTCTTGTTCCTCTTGTATATTATATATTAAATTTTGCTTCGCTATTTTCATGGTTGTCTTACTTCTAACTTATGTTTATTTTTTTCCCTTTTAGAAAAATCAATTAAGTGAAGAGGATTTCGCACGTCATATAGCGCTTTTTGATAAATCGTTCAAAGCTATCGTCGCACAAGCTTATTCGTCGAACCAAGTTATTAAGGTGACTTTGTTTTAAAAGGTGTTGGGCACATTTTTTTTCAAAAATGATTTATTACTTATAGATATTTCAAATTTATTATTAAGATAAGATTTTTTAAGGATTTAAAAGAGAGTTTTGCTGCCTATTATAAACGAGAAATGCCATATTCAGTTAATCCACTCGAAAAGCGAGGTGGTGGTGATAAAGCAGTTTCAACTAGGTTTTCAGGTTGTTTTTTTTTCGAGTTTATGGATATAAGAGTCGTCGAAATGTCTTTAGTAAAAGCTTAGTTGCAGTGAAATGAGCTGCAACTTATATGAGTTAAAATACTGAATTTATCGCTTAATGTGAAAATTGAAAATTTATAATCTATTTCAAGGAGCTGAAGCGTTTCCATCAACTTTGACAATAATGAGGATTGGCGAAATGGCAAAATCGGCTGTTCCTACTCAATCCACAAGTTCTTTTTTCTTAAATCGATGGGTTTCGCGCCAGAAGATTCAAATAAATTTTTTAAATAGGCCATAGCTGCACTAATTTATATCCATTGAAATATTTTTTAGCATTCTTTAGTTAGTTTTTTGGGGTACTTGGTGTGCATCGTGATAATTGAATATATTTCCATATTTGGCAGAATCTTCTAATTCTTTTCCTCTTCTCACAATTACTGGTTAGACTGGCTTCGCTGGCTACAAGGGTAAGTCATTTCCAAGCTATTCGGGTCAGCGCCATCGTCGACAGACAGAAGTCATTCCTTTTTCCATCGTCTAAGTATATATATATCGCTTGTATATATTCTATATATTCAAAATTCTTTCTGTTTCAATCCAAGTCCTGTTTTTATTGGCCCACCTCGCTTTTGACGCCATCCGTCACAGGGTTTAACAAGTAGCGAAATATATCAATTTCTGTGGTGGACGACGAAGGACATAGCCAGTGAAAGCGATGCTCTGTGATGACATTGTTGATATAGATGACTTGAATGCAGCCATGTAATTTTATCTGCTCGACGAACCCATAAAATATACCTTAGACGTAGTGGTCAAAGGTGGATGACTTAAATATCCTCCGCTCTCGTTGGCCATGTCTTGTAGCCATATAGCAAGATCGAGCGAATCGAAGCTATATAGATAGGCAGTGAGTTCGCGATGAGTTCATAAAGAAGCTGGAAGGAGACATTTCTAGTTACCATTCATTCGATAAAATCTTTCATTAAAAATTCAGTGAAATAATTGAACAATGTTTTTGCAGCGGGAGGACAAACATTCGGTGGTTCTGGTGCATTATTTGGATCTAAACCTTTTGGGACTTCTCAATTTTCTTTCAACCCATCTGCTGGGACTTCGGCAACATCATTTTTTAAACCATTCTCCTCGACTCAGGGGCAAAGCTCTTCTTTATTTGGTAATTATTTTTTTATTATAAATTTTTATTATTTATATTTTTACATTATTTTTAAATTATTTTATTATTAAATTATTTTAATAATTATTAAATTATTATTTCATATTTTAGTATTATTCATTTTAGGTAATGTGGCTAATACTTCAGCGCCTCCAGCGGCTCCTACAACGACTGCTTCTTTCACCTTTGGAAATACTTTGAATTCTTCTGTTAGTGGCACTCTATTCGGAGGAAGTGCTATTAAACCTTTTGGAAAATGATGAAAATGAATAGTTATAGTCCCACTATAAAATTCTTGAGTTTATGTTTCACTGCCAAGTTTTGCGAAAAGTTCTAATTTTAATTTTAATTATATTTGAAAAACAAAGATCGAAATGAATTAATGAATCTTCTAATATTTAATATATTAGAATATATTTGACTAAAATTCTCTTTTTATGCTGTTATTATTCCGTTGAAAATATCCGGTTAATAATAAAATGCAAAATTTTTTTGTCTTTGGATACACTATGCAATGTATTATCTTAAAATCATGCAAATTCATAAATTCTCCGGCGATAACAAAAACTTTTTATTATTTAGGATTTGCAGCGATCTTCCCTATCGCCAAATAATTCCAAGTGGTGAAAATTTGTTTCCAGCTGAGCAAGTCTGACCAGAAATAATGCGCGAATTTAGAAAAAGTTATGGATTAAATAAATTTTGTTCTCTTCAATAATTTGCAATAATTTGAGAGATTTTCTTCAATTTCTCAATATTTTCTACCTTTGATAAATCGTTTTATGCCTAAATCGTCAATTATTTAGTAATATTACGTAAGTATCAATTTTTTGAATTTTGGCGAATTTATAAAAGATTCCAAAAAAAAATTAAGGATTATCGCCTCACCAACTAGAGCACAATTATCATAATACGCTGCCTTAGGACCTCTTTATTACTGATAAGGAAGTTTGCAGCGTCTAATCTGATGATATAATAGGGATCCTACTTATACGTTATAAATCATATGGGAACCGTTCAATGAAATATCGCCAGATTCCTCTTCCTTTGATGTTTTTTGTCGATGGCCAAATTTTAGAAAAAAGGTTGATTGTAAAATGAGTGAACGAATTATCACATTATAGCAAAAATTTTTTTTTATTGCTTCTTCATATTGTCTAATGAACCTAGCGAAAATTTCATAGTTAATAGAAATGGTGAGGAATCTGTAGAAAAAACCGGAAAATTCACTATTTCTGGTTCGACGCTCTCCGCTGGGTTCTTACATAATACTACTTTAATATGTTAATATATTAATATTTAATCAGAAATTTTCGGTCATTTGGCGGTTCAACGAAATTTTGCAGTGATAGGTTTATTCCTGTCGAAGTCGAGAGACTCGATTTTAATAGGGTAATTTGAACTACTCAACTATGGCTATCCTTCGCCAGAATTCGAATATAATAAAAATGATTAGCTAATTTTTCCTCTAAATAATTTTGAAAATTAACATTTAAATGCTACATTACATATACACTACTTTGAATGTCGCCATAAATTATTATTTTTCTTTTTTATTTTTAATATTTTAATATTAAAAATATTAATATTAATATTAATCTTTTAATATTAAAATTAAAAATATTTTTAATATTTTAATATTAATATTTTTTTATTTTAAAAATTTTATTATTCCATTATTTTTAATACTCTAATCAGTATTATTTTCAATATTATTTTTAATAATATAGAAAATTTAATGAAAATTTCCTTATATCGTGAATACAGCATTTATTCTTCTTATTTCAACTATTTTTGGAGTGAATAACGCATAATTTCTGGTTTTATGAGTTCCATTGGCTACCAGGTTGCATCAAATAATAGAGAGAGAGAGAGAATTCTCTGGTCGGATTTCGGATTTCGCCTATATAGTCGGTCATAAATTTAGCAAAAATAAAAATAAATAAATAAAATATGAATTTAATTGTTAAAAAATTTGATTTATTTCACAATATTCTAAAATGTAAATTATTATTTTAAAATTTTTTTTTGCCACTTTTGGATTATTGGTCAGCAAATTTGTTCAAAATAAAATATATTAAATTTTTTCAATTTTTAGTAAAAAAATTTAATTTTATAAATTTTAAATCACTGCGGAAATTAAGTTATTTTTATTATGCCTTTAGGCCTTTTTAATTTTCTTTTTTCTCATTTCATCATCGAATATTGTTTTTTATTCGTAAACTTATGTTTTATCTTTAAGTTTATGAGAAGACACCTCATCGATTTCGGAACATTTCTGTTTACCTGGATTTCTTCCGATTTATGGCTATGAAAAGGTGAAATACAGTAATATTGCGGATTTTCGCTTTCTCGAACAGTTGTCTCATATTTCTCACTCGAATAATAAATTCTGCCCCCCCCCCCCTCCCCATATCATTGTTTCTGTACCCTTTTGAAACGCTCCATAGTTAGGTTTTATTTTGTTTTTTTTTGGATTAATTCCTCAAAATCCGACTGTTTCCGACTAGTCTGTTTCCGAGTGGTTCATCTTAGAGTGGTCGATTTTCAGAGGCATTTCGTCAGTTGGGGCCAATTTTCATTAGCTATCCTAGTACAAAATTCTTCCAGTGGTGATCGAATAGAAAATAATCTAATTGCGCTAGTTATCTGGAGAGCTTCATATAACTGGGTGTCGTTCTGCGATGCTGAAAGCATATATTAGTGGAAAAAAATTCATTCTCCTCTCTCATGCTTTCTATTAGCATGTCAGATCTCGATGCTATATTTGCCAGCCACGAAATTTATCATGGTAGCACTGTGTTTTACCTATGCAAATTTCACTCTCTCTCGACCATGATCATGTCGCATTTTTGGGAGAGTTCTTAACAGTTGGAGTTCCGCATATAAATTATGTTTATCATTTCCATATAAAATAGAAATTCGCTTTTCGATCAAATTTAAAATATAACTACTACTGTATAATTTACTCCAAGCCAAGTACAATAACTGTTTGAAAGTCAGTAAGTCAGGAGCTAGGAGATGAACTAAAACTGATATCCGCAACTTGGATAGACCATATTATCGCTTTCTCCTGACCTGTAAGCGTTCCGACGTTCGCAATTGCTATGGCCAATATCAGATTTTGAGCAGATATAATGCTTTAAGAGTTTATGCATGCTTTCTATCTTTGCCTTTTTAATTGTCTTTCTCTCTACTAAGCATGATACATAATTATCGCTTATTCCCCCAAGCTAGGAATACGTTGAAAGATGAGGATGGCCTTAAATATTAATGAATCCTTTTTATCATAGAGACACTTGGAGACAAATATACAGGTAGGCCCATAGCAACCACACGGATTTTAATATCCCTGTCAGAAAACGATAAAGGGTCCGCAAATTTCATATTTAGAGAAATGGAAATATTAAAACATTTTATATTAATTTATATTAAATTAAATTCATATCATATTCATATCATATTAAAAATAGGAAAAAATTAAGAATAATTCCTTTTTACATAGGCAGGTAGAGATCCTTAATGAAACGACAAAAATAGTGCGATCAAAATCATTATGGAAATTTCAAAGAATTGGTATCGGACAACTGACAACTGATAACATCTTATAATTATGCTAATTTTATTTTCATTTTATTGAAGTTATCATTAAATGAATCATAAAATTTTATTAAATAAATTTTAGAAAAATTTCTTTAACAATTGTCTGGACTATTTTAATTCAATCAGTACAATATCCACAAGTTTTATTACAATGTTTTTTCATATCTTCTGCAAATCGTGCGTCAAACGTATAGGAGCAATACCGTTTTTCGCAATTGCCATAATAATCCTTGCAGTAAACTGCTGAAAAGAAAACAGTTAAATAATATTGAATAAAGTACGGAGCATAACCGCGATAAGATAACAACAACACTATTAGCTGACTTATCACCACTTTAGCTAAATTAGTATTTCAAATAAGGCCGACTCAAAATCATCTTGTTTTTTTGAAATACGAGACCTGGTCCGCCGCCAGCGCAAAGATTTTTCTCACATTTTGATCGAGGATATCGTTTGCATTTGGAGCAAGGCTTCCCCACTTCATATATTGGTTCATTGAGCGTATTTCCCCTGAAATATGCAATTAAAAATCCTACAAATCAATATAATTTTATTTAATTTAACTAGAAACCTACCGTGGATCGTAGTGACATACGACATATAGCATATGTTTTAAAAGTGGATTGGAATAATCTATGCAATCCGTTTTCATACCACAGCCGATTTTATAGGTTTCGAACCATGCCATCTTAAAAATTTCGACTTATTAATAAGAAATCCTTTATAACGGCGATTTAGTGAACTCTCTCTGGCTTGAGAATACTGTTTCAATAGTGTTTCCAACAATGATGATGATCAACTTGATTTTCTCCGAACTAACGAAAAAATAATACAATAATTTATGCTGAAATGTTTTCTCTTTGTACAAGTAGGAACATGCCTGAGTAAAATGTCCAATCATCTTTGGCTTTACTGAGTCCACGAGTTCTCTTGTGAAATTTAATATGGGTTTTGTCATTAATTTCACCTCATCCCACCATGCTTGAGCAGCTCTTTTCATGTGACCAGCTATAAAATTTTTTTGCATAGCCTCTCGAACTAAAAGCTATAAATCTGGTTTATGAATATGAGTAGTAGTATTTTTCAAAGAGTTTTACAAAAGGTATAGAAAGTTGAAATTACTTCTATTGACAGGGAAATTCTGGTTAACTTTATAAAGATTTTCTCCTTTGTGATTACGGAACGATTCGTCGGAATGTCTCCATTGGCATAATTCAGCCCATTTTTGTGCAGTTCTTTCCAGCTCGCAATCCCATTTCTAGAAATACAAAACATACTGAAGGAGATATTTAATCCAGAAGATTTTTATTTGTCTAAGAATAGAGAGACTTTTGGTGACTTAACAATCGTGACTAACCAATTTTCGAATGTCTGCGCCTTGTGGCATAATATTATCCTTGGTTCTCACTCTACCAGCAGCCAATTCGGATCGAAATTTATTATGAGTGGCAAGTATTTGACTACGTTCTTTTAGAGAAATCTTTGTGTTTGGACATAAATCCTTTGCAACTTTTTTTGAACTAGTAGGAATTTTCTTGATTGTGGCCTTCTTTGTTGCACCATTCAATTCTTCTAGATTATAGGATATGCATCAAGTTTATGGAAATTTTCAAGATCGATTGATTGATTGATAATAATAGGTGAAATTATAATAAACTTATCAATTAATTGTCCTATGGGAGAGAAAGAAATTACCTAAGTAGGCGATGATGAGAAATAGAGAAATGAAATACTTCATATCGGCTGAAGTGGGGAACTGTAATATGAATTTCAGGCTGCTAATCTATGTTTATAAAGGCTTCTATACGTGAGAAATGAACTAAATTCGAAAGATAAATCGAATTATTTTATTAAAGAAAATGATAACGAATACAATCAAAATCAAATCATTTTTTGAATTGATATTTTGAAAAAATTGATATGAAATTAAAAAGTATATCAAAAAATTTACTTTTACAAATATTTATTTTGAATTTTTTTTTGCATAAAAAAATCTTTTCAAACTGCATAATACATGGATAATTGATGAATTTACTGGTGGGACACTGGTTTTTTATTAAAAGAAAATTTTCCATTTAGCTAAATTTCCAATTTATTTAAAATTTCCAATAAGAACGAAACCGTATTTTAAAAATCCATAGTGAAAATGTGTGATTTTGTCTTTATCGCTATATGAATGACAAAATTTGTTTGGTCCAATAAGTCAGCCAAAAAGAAAGCCAAGTAAAAAATGGTGAGTGCTTTTAAAATTAACTAAAATGATGATCTTTTTTCTTGGAGAAATTTGCTAATTTTTATTACTTTCAGAGTTCACTGATTTCCTTATCATTGTCGATTTAATGATATTATAAGCACTCTTTCATCAAAACGCTTGTCGCATATCTTTTTCAATTTTTCATGCCTTCCATTATAAAATCCCATTTTAAGGCGAAATCTTTCATTTTCCATTACCTTCTCTCATTTGCTTTCCTTTCTCCTTGTTTTTTTGCTTTCACCGTTGCAGCTTTGGCACTGAGCGATTTCCAAGCATACTGGTTCGATCGAATTCTTGAAAGCAATTGAAGCAATTTTTGTGACACTGTATCGCTTTCATGTAAATCCTCGAAAAGCCTTCGAAGCCTCAAAAATTTTGGAGATATTTCTAAAAATGCTCGCAGCTACCGAAAGAATATTGTCTTTTAATTTTAAAAAGTTTTATTTTTCTTTATAATTTGATTTTTTGATTGGAAACCTGTTAAGCGCTTTTCTATGAACGCTCACCATTTCTCGTTAAGCTTCAATATTCACGACCGGCAAATTTTGCTAAAAAATCATTTGATAGTGGATGAATCGTTAACTTGGTTTGGATTTTTGAAAGGCAGGATTACTATCTCCAATCCGGGAATAGAACTCCAGCACTGGCGCATTGAAACAGTAGCAAAATAGCGAAATTCTACTATTGTACCAATTCCTATTACCCTGAAATATCATTATAAATTTCAAAAATTTGGAGTGTTTTATTCATTTATCCATGTAATTTATTTACAATTCGTTTATGGAAAATAGCGTATAAGTGATTAAATGAAATGCGTATAAGTGATTAAATGAAATCAGCGTATAAGTGATTAAATGGAATCATATCATATCATTTAAGATGATGTAAACCAAACGATAATAATTGTTTTCCCCTTTGTCACCGAGTTTATTTAGCTGTAATTTTAAGTTTTTTATTACGCTAATAATGAATGCCATTATTCAATAAAAATTGCTTTATGTTATATAAAAATTTCAGAAAAAGAAAAACTTTAGCTATTTATCGAAAAAAAAAATTGATTTATCATTTTAACAATTAATTATAGCTATAGTTTTTAAAATTTGAAATAAGTAGGCTAATAACTAGCACAATCATTCAACCACAAATATTGAGCAGAATAGCTTAATACGTATTGGCTTACTTACTTATTGCTCGATTCGGAGCGCCACTGCTGAGGTTCGATTCCCTAGGGGTAAACTTGTCCAAAAATCCGAGTGAGCTGGTGACTCACCGCAACGAGTTTAACCAGTGACAATGAGGACTCTAAAAAAAAGGGCACCAAGATGTACGAAACAATGACAGTTTGACCTTGATTTAAGCAACATAACTGTCGCAAAACTGGCGATGTCTTTTCTTAAATCATTATTTCAAACCGGTGACCCCACCCGCCCAAGAAAAGTTTTTTAATCGATTCTTTGGTTATTGCACTTTATATGTCAATAAAAAATAAAGGACAATTTACAGTATATGTTATATACTAAAGAATATCTTTCTTCTGCATTTCAAGGCGCCATAATCCAACGATAATATACAAAATCAAATACTAAAAACAAAAAACGTATAGCCTCAAATTCTGTTGTACCATAAACAAAAATTTTACATAAACTACAAAGCTAACTCCCAACAACTCACTTCACAATATTCTCACTAATATCGTTCTTATGGCATTTTATTTTAATATTAATATTAATATTTAGAACATTTATTTGTTAACGTGTTTTTTACTCATTCTTTTCCTTTGTTTTGTCTTTTAGTCTATTTGGTTTAATTACCCAAGTTTGAGGTAACGAATAAATATTTTTATCAATTCGTACGGTGAACAGTTTTTATTCTACTATCCTGAGAAAGCAGTCGGATCAAGATTATTCTAATATAATTGACAGGCGAGCATAATCCCACTGCTTCCAATCAACAATTTATTATCTATTCTTTGCAATAACAGTCCTTAATAATACAACGTTAAACTATTCTATGGAAGAACGATCATTATACTTAAACGCTGTACTTCTTCAAGTAAGTTTCTATTGAATAGATCACTCGTGTCAAATAAATCAGAAACGATGGATTTCGGCATCCATTTTAAAATCAGAGAAGTTTTCGAAAAATTATGTTGCTTATAAGCTTAAACACAAAACTACTTCAGCGAAAATGCATCACTCGACATATTCAAACAGAACAACAAAATCTCAAAATCATATTTGGTACTTTTTTTTGTTATATAGGATATGTTATGTAGTTAGTTGCTATATATTGGTGCGCAAACAGTTTGATGATAACAGCGAATTGGTGGTGTTGAAATCGAACGATGATAAAAGAGAGTCGTGGATCTTCTAAAGTTAAACAAATTACTCAGAACAATAGATGAGAGAACGAGGAAATTTCACAGAACAATAGATGAGAGAACTGGAAATTGGAAATTGGAATGAGGAAATTTTGCCAACTAATGAAAGGATACTACTTATCTATTCTTCCACCTGATTCAATTTATCGTATTCAATTTTCAGGTTGTATAAAATGAATAGAAATGATTGTAAAATTCTGTCAGAGCAAGTAAACCGAATGGATGATATGTTGAAAGGGAAAGAAGATTCAGCCCATGGCTCCTACAAAAACGGGAATGATGCTGGCGACTCGCCTATGATCCTCTGGCAACAATTTCTAGCCGTATTAAATTCCCGCGAAGCAAGTTTAATCAAAAATGATGTACTAAAACTACTTCTTTACCTATATTGTTTATACAGTATATACAGAGAGGAATGCTATGAGGCTAGCTCCGATTTTAAGGAACTATTATAATCTTTTAGAGAAATATAATTGGCAAGAATTAAAAGCACTGTTGCATAGACAAAAGCAGCAATATGTTGAGGATAAAATACAACAGAGATTTAGAGATATTGAGATTTTGTTAACGCTTATAATACAACTTGATCTTAGAAGGTTTTAGAAGACTGTAAAGATGACGCTTAATAACATGAAGAGAAGGGCTAGAGGGGTAAATAAGAGAATGCATGAGTGTTTGAATGTTAATATTTAAGCAAGAGCGAAATGATACATGATTTCTTTACTTATAGGCTGCTTTAAGGAACCAGGGTTTCATTCTTCCACGAATTTCAGTCTATAATTGGCCTTTAGCCTAAAAACCGCAAATAGCGAAACAATCACTATTCTTAGTTTAATTTTTCTTTAACTGATTATAAAAAAATATTATGCAAATCAAAGTTTAATTAAGAAAAAAATTTTCAGAAATTTTCAGAAATTTAGGATAAAATTTTTGATCAATAAATATGGAGATTTAAGCAAATTATCCTGAATTAATGAGATGAGCTGATATCGTTGTTATTGTGCTGAAGGCTCAGAAAGACAAATGCTTCCCAAGCGCCTAATCATTCTGGCAAAAATTTTATCAGTATCATATTTCACAAGAAAATTCATTTGACTACTGGAGACTAGATTATCTCTAATCATTTGAGCTTTCATCGTAATTAATATAGTTTATAACATGATAACAAAATTTAAAAACTTCTTTCTTTCTTAAGAAATTTGGCTTCCAGTGAAATTTGTTCCATAGCTATGCTATTAGACTCAGATCCACAATTCAAAGGTTTATTTCTAATTGCACATCATTCTTCTAAACTCTTCAACTTACACTCTCACTGGTTAGTCTGACTCAAATTCAATAAATTTTTCTTTCTATCTTCGTTTCACTACGTAAAATATTCTTTATTAAATTTCGCGATCAAATTTTTTCATTTCTGGAATTGCAAATCTTGGATATTCATGCAAACCAGAATATTTTCATGAGGTTGCAGTAATAAGATGATAAATCTCAATAATATATAAAATTCAATAATAATATAAATATAATCAATTAACTAAATTATCACCAAACCACCAAATTCAACCAGTTTAGAGACAAAGGTAAAAGGGTTCAATAAATTTGTCTATGAGTATTAATGGATGTCGCTGAAAGGAAAATTCAAAAGCTACGTGAAAGCTCGTAAAAATCAAAAGCAGTTTTTGCAATGGCTAAATTATCAATTAAATCAACTTATTCATTACAATCAACAAGGATCAACTAACATTGATAAAAATTGACAAAAAATTTGGTGCATCGTTAGAGAACCGCAAGACTGCTGCAATCAAGAAGAACGGCAAAGGTTCGAATCCAACCGGCGCATCTTACGGCAATCTTGCACTTTCTTGCCGATGCACCATTTTGATTAAAAAGCCTACCAGCCCCAGCAAGAAGCCAGAAGAGCTCACTAGTCATCCTGCGCGTACCACCATCGTTTTAATGCAATTTTATTATTATCTTGGGGATAGAAATGATTCATTCTTGCTTTTCAATTCAGAAAAAATTTTCAACTCACTGCAAGAGTACACATGTTAAAAATTAGGACAACCCACTAACGATTTTACCATTTGCTAAGTGGCTCAATTGTGAGAAAAAAAAAGTAAGGCTATGTGCATGTGCATATGCATGCGCACCTGCTAAAGCTCTAAAAAGCATATAATATTTGACACAAATTATTTTGCATATCAAAGAGAGGAATGCTTAGAGTTTAGATTCTACAAATCTGATATTTTTTCTGATGAAGAAAAACCGCTCTTAATTTTGAATTATTTATCGTCGTTTTTTGTTAAATCATTAATTCTGTGATAATGATAGTCGAGAAAAATCGCGATGCAAAATTCGAGAAAAATCGCGATGCAAAATCGAAGTAGAATAAATTTTGTATTTTAATAAAATAATGTTTTTAATAAAAAACATTTCTAATATTTCTAATATTAATAATAATATTAATAAATAATATAATATAATATTTAATATAATATAATATTTAATATTTATATATTAAATATATATTTAATAATATATAATAAATAAATAATATATATAATTAATATTTGCATTTTAATAAATAATATTGCATAAATAATATAAATAATATTTCGTTCTTCTTGATTTTCTCTACAATCGCATATTTTTTATTGCAAAGGAAATTATTGGTGAAGGAAAAGAAGAAAGATAAGAGAGATTATGGATGAGAGTGGGAAAAAATGAAAAAAATGGATTCGATATGATTATTTGATAAATAATTCTACGCATGAAAAATATTGGAGTTTCTGTAATTCACAAGATTTTATCCGATGAGAAAATGGTCTGCGAGCTGAATTCCTCAAATGCTGTCTAGCTTTTAGCATATTTAATTTGGAAACAATAGGGATAGAATGGCTCAATGAGTTTTTGCCCTCATTTCCGATTATTTATAAAAATATATCTGCAAATCTGTCCAAAAATTTCGAGTGGTGTTGGTATCTCATCTGAGTATCTATCACCAAATAAGTCTCTAGCAAAATTTATCTGATCCGATATATCTGTGAAGCGACTTTAGTCAGAAATGGTGAATATTTTTAGAAAAAAAATTTGAAAATAGCAAATGTAAAAAAATAAATAAATTTTCGAAGCAAAATATTCATAAAATTACTTCATTATTTAGATTAGTATACTGTTTCAGTTTATATTTTTAATGAATATGTTAATGAATGATTACTTTCGAGAAAAATAAAAATTTTAATTATTTTAATAAAATGAATAAAAATTATTTCATCAACTATTATCTAGGATAATAGTACTGTAAGTCAAAAATTAATTGATAATTGGAAGTAAATGATTAGTGCTCATTATCTGGCCATAAATTAGAATCATTCTATAGTTGTCCGACTAGCAATGTCATGAGCAGTATTATAATAAGAATAGGAGAAGCTGGATTTGCTTGAGTTCACTCATAAACAATCTGGTGAAAATAGTGATATTTGCCATATTTTGTTGATAAGCTATTTTTAATGCAATAAGATTTTAAGGTTTCGCAGCGATATTTTTTTTTCACTTAGTATTTGATCATTTTAATTAATAAATCTAAATATTACTAACGGTTAAAAAACACTTTTTAAATGCAATTGGTACCAGTACTGGTAAATCAAATGAGAAAAATGATCAAAGGGAATCTCGCCTTTCGCTTTGTCATCAAGTGTAAACCTGAGAGTGAACTCAAAATAAGTACTTCTTCAAATAATGATGAAGTCTTATAGAACTCATTGAACATGGATCTTAATTTGCTATTCTGTAGATATTGGATTAAATCTACAAGTTTTTGCATGGAAATTGACTCGTTGGTATGTAATCTTCATATTGGTATCAAAATGCCCTTTCATGCAGTGCTCTTGATGGAATGTATTTTAGGTACAATAACAATAACTTTATTTCAGTAATATCTGTCAATATAATCAAATTGGTGTACAATAGTGGCAAGTTTTATTGCAACCTTTTTTCAGACTTTCTTTGAAATCTTGTGGTAATGTTGTCATACGGCAATATTGTTGTAAAGTGTTGCAATTATTGTAAAAGTCCTTGCAGTAAACTGCTGGAAAAGTTAAATTACAAATTAAATGTAATGAAAAAAGGTAACCCTATGCAAAATGACAAGATTGTCGAATTTTCGAGGCTTTAAACAACTAACCTGGTCCGCCGCCAGCACAAAGATTTTTCTCGCATTTTGATCCAGGATATCGTTTGCACTTCGAACAAGGCTCTCCACTTTCATATATTGGATCATTGAGCATATTTCCACTGAAATGAAAATTAAAAATTATATAAGTTAATAAAATTTCAAGTTTTCCAGAAGCATACCCTGGATCATAGTGACATACAATGTATAGCATATATTTAAAGCGCGGATCTGATTCTAAGCAATCTGTCCTCATTCCACAACCGATTTTATAAGTTTCGTACCATGCCATCTTAAAAATTTTAGATTATTAATAAAAATCGTTCATAAGTGCGATATAATTAATAGATAGTGTTATGAAAAATGATAGGTTGTGGTGCCTCTGAAAAATAATAGAGTGTGGTGCCCTTTTCTGTTTCGATTCCTCTTAACAGTGGCAATCCAATCCAAATAGTTTTATACTTCACACTTCTCAATTTCATAAACCATCATAGATCTCGGTCACGGCTCATTAGGTCATAGGTTTAGTTGAAATGCCAAACTAAACTTCTAAACTTTGAGAGATTATGATTGTGTAATAGTGCTTCTGTGAAGAGATTCCATGTGATGCAAGAAAAAATTTATATATTTTTTAGTAATTTCTAATTTGAACCCATTTCTGCAATACTTGATCCTGTTTGCAATGCCTATGACATCGTTATCACTATTATCACTATTGTTATCATCATCAAATGCATTTTTACTATCAATTTTTCGTATAATCCATTGATTTATTTCATATACTTAAAATTTTATCCGGAAATGGCTTGAAGCATCATCAGATCACCGTAATATAAAAAAAATAAGGGATACCGATAATTGACGAAAAAAATATTGCGCTTCCAAGTCTCGGCATATTTTTTAACCTTAGTACACAAACTTTTTGAATCCTTTTATATTTGGAAAGAGTGCTAATAGAACAAATACAAATGTTACTCAGGGAAAGTTTTATGAGAATAAATGTAGAGCAAGCTATAAATAAGAGGCTTGATGGAAAATGAAATCTAGGCCTTTGAAATCTTTTTAAGGCCTTAAAGTATCGCCAGGGATTTACATAAGTACCAATAGGTTGCCAAAAAACAAGAGTCAGAAAAGTGGAGGCCCTTAACTCATCCAAATAAATATTGAGCATACCCTTACCAAACCTATTACGTTGAAATCTATGGTTAAAAAATAAGTATGGCTGGTACTTCCATCGCATAATAATTCTCCGGCAAAAAATTTTTTCCTAATGCACAGCAGAGCTAGTATAATCAGTAATGGTTGCGCTAAACGCTTATGTAAAACCGAGTAATAAAGGGATTCATCTTAACGGAATAGAGATGTAATATTTGACGAAATCTTTGTGACTGCATTGAGCTTAGGTGATAGATAATATACCGAGGTTATAAAGTCCCAAAATATTATAGGTGAAAGCTGAGGGATTTAAGAGGGCAAAAAGAAGCTTAAAGAAATAGAGGGGCCTAATGAAGTGTTTCAGAACGTTGGAGATATAGACGCTTAGAAAGTGGTACGAATTTTAAATTTTGATATGCAAAAGTAGCAAATTTCCATTTGTGATCTTTCACCCCTATAGGTTAATAAGTGGATTTAAAGAAGGGCTAGAAAAGGATGGCGGGGATTTTCGATGATATTAGGTGGCTTGATGTTCCTATTAGCGCTACAGTATCGCTATAGACATAAAGTTAGCTTCCGTGAATGAGCAGAGCTTAAAAAATTAGCCCAATTTATTTTTAAAAAAAGTATAGTGATGCAGTTAAGCATAAGCAAGCTATTGTGAGGGAATATCAAGAAAATTCAAAAGAGCGTTTAGAAAATAGAAAACAGCTACTTCAACTCTACGACAAAAGCTTTTTTCCGAAAGCTTTTTTCGGTAATTTTTCAGGAGTATAGAAGAGCCAGAAAAGTTTTAACCATATAATATAAAAGTGTAGAGAGTATCAGGTAAATAGTGGTTCCAACACTTCACAAATCGCTCATTTGAGGAGATATATAAGAATTCAAGAACTGAATATGAAATAGAAAAGAATAGGAGTTGGAAGGGGTTGAAAGATATAAGGAGGCTTGATACGACAACAAAAGATTCCAGAGAATTTTGAGGAAAAATTAAGCTTGAGCTGCTACCTAATAGGCATAATTTTCTTCTTCTTCTAACAGCTCTCACCATTATTAGTTAAGCTGGCTTCGCTGGCTATAAGAGTAAGACGTCTCCAAGGGTTTGGCAAATAACGAAATATGCATCAATTCCTATGGTGAACGAAGAACGTGCTCTAACCAGCGAAGGCGACGCTCTGTGATAATATTATTAATAGAGGTGTTATTTGAGCGAAGGGATACAATAATGTGCGATTTTATCTGCTCGACAGATCCGTAAACTGTCCCTTAGACATGAGTGGTCAAAGGCTAATAGCTTCTTAATATCTTCCACTCATTGGCCATGTTTCGCAGCCATGTAGCAAGATCGAACGAATTGCAGCTAAATGGATGCGGATTTTCGTCTTTATGGTGATTTCGCGGCGCTTCCTTAAAGGCTTCATCAACCGAAAAAACATAATTATAGCTATCGTTATCTGGGTTACGATTTTAGCCTTTGCCTGGCCATTTGGGATTAAAGTGATCCAAGGTATTTAAAGTCTTCTTCAACCAGCAATGAATTGATGAAAATAGGTATTTTATTTTCTTCTATGTAAAACGAAAACGATTCGTTTTATTTATTTTCATTGATTTTAGTCCAGTTCTCGCTGCACTCTCTGACATATTGTTTAATATTATTAGCATTTCCTTGTGTCAGCAAAAAAGGATTTCATTATCAGCGTATTCAAGGTCTATAATGCTACGATCTGGACTGATTTGCCCATCTCTTGAGTGCCGACAAGTGATGCCCATTATTACTCTATCGCATAGTTGAATATTGTGGGGGAAAGGATGCAGCCCTGACGGACACCAGTTTTCCAGAAGTCTATCAGTTCCTCCATATACACAGATCTGTGCCAGACTCTCTGATAAAATGCCTTTATGAGCCGAATGATTTTCTCTTGGATACCGTCTCATTCCATCACTTTCCAGTGCTCTATCAATCGAATCAAAAGGAGCAAAATCGATGAAGCAAATGATGATGTGTTGCTGTTTGCTTTTTGCAGCGATATTCCAGCACCTTTCTTAGCCTAAAATCTGGTCAGCAACTGTATCCCCGTCTGAATCCAGCTTGATTAGGAAGCATTATTGCCATGAGTCTATTTAGCAGAATGGAAGCGAAAATTTTTCCGGAGATGTCCAGTAGGCTGGTTCATCGGTGATTATCGCAGTACGTGCTATCTTTCTTAACGTGCTATCTTTCTTAGGAATGGGAAGCACAATTGCTTTACTCCAGTTCTGGTGTTATTTCTTTTTGCCATACCAGAGAAATTTGTTAAAGGTGAGTTATGAACGATGATGGACAACATTTGAAGAGTTCGATCCGAAGACCATCTTCTTCAGGAGTTTTATTAGCCTTAAGCTTATGGATTATGGACTAGCTTATGGTTGGTGGCTCACAAACATAAGGCTCCACGGAAAAATCAGTCATATTGAGATATTCGAGATCGTGGTTAAGTTTGGCCTCAAAAAAATTCTTTTCATCTTCTGAGGCGATTCTTAACAGGCTTTAATAGGCACCCCATTAATATTAATATTCTGTACCATTTCACTGTCTCCTCGAATTATTGCTTTGTGGAGAAGGCGAAACAATTCCCTATTATCACCAAGCCGCCGCCTATATTCTGAAGGCCATGTCATTCCAATAGTGATTTCTATCCCGCCGTGCTGCTTTCAAATCTTCGAAGCATCCTAGTCAAGATTACCTGACATGGCTACATCCGTGCTTTGGCAATTTTTTGAGACAATTGGTCAGTTGCTTCCGATTGCTTCCGATACCAAACTAGCGTATTTCACTAGCCCTAGCGCACTAATATGCCCTAATGTGGAAGTGGCTGACTTTTGTAGTCATGTCTTTACTTGGGACCAGTATTCATTCACCGCTCCAGTAATGTCATTGATATTCATTTCACTGAGGTGTTTTAATAATGCGATTTTCTTTTAATGTAGTTGAAAAATCTTTGGATACATTGTTTTACGACTTGTCAGTTCTATAAGAATTTTGGTTCGAACCATAACATGATCTGATCCATGGCGGTTACCAGTTTCGGCATCACAATAAGAACGACTATTAAGTACAGAACTCTTCCAGCGGTGATTTCCCGAATATGACCGTATCAGCATTAGCTCTCGGTATTAACTCTCGGTAAGGATGTTGTTAACAGTTGAAGTTCCGCATAGAACTTACCTTATCGCTGTCATTTTTGCATAAATATATACTAATAACGAAATATTGCAGAACTTCCCCTTGAAACGCGCATAGGCTATACGGTCATTCATTGGTTTCCATTCAATCACAGATCGAACAATTTTCAGACATGACAATCGCTAGGTCATTTCGCCCCGAGTTATCCGAGACACCACTGTGATATAGCCAATATCTTTATATGGAACCAGGTTTAATAATTATTCAGAAGCCGATATGAGGAAGACGGACCCCCGACAAACATACCACATCTACGCGGTATTTAGGAAGGGTGTGATAGTGATCGCTTGGCTTGCAACATCCATAAACATTTTGACATTCCAAGCAGCTATAGCCTCACCGCGCTTACAAAATGCTAACAGATGTCTCCGCTTTCCTCGACGGATTTTGAGTACTTATTTCGGTTCGCGAGCAAATTCTGTGCTCTGCCTTGGTCTTTTATCATTATTATTATTACTATAGCCTCCGGATTGATCGCAAGTAATGCGAGTCAGATTCATTGATACCATCTCTATTTTCTTGAGCGTAAGAACGAAAGCAAATCGCTCATATAGAATGCAAGTGTCGGGAAATGCGAACGACGTGTCAAAGAGACCTGGCCCTTTCATCATAGAGTCATTTGGAGATATAGACACAGGTGGGTCCCCAGCACCCGGATTTTTGACATCATGACAAGTTTATTCCTGTCAAAGATAGAGATAATTAAATTAAATTTAAAATATAAGTTTAAAGATGATTATTTAATAAAACGAAAGGAAAAAAAATAGGCATAATTGGGCTACTTTGTTTTATAGATGAGATATAAATATTTATCCTTCGAAAAAAAGTTTAAATATTTATAAAAAAGTTTAAATAGTTTAAATATTTTCTTGCTCAAGGAAAATACCTGAGTAAAATGTCCAATCATCTTTGGCTTTACAGAATCCACAAGTTTCGTTGTGAAAATAGTTGTAGGTTTTGCCATTAATTTAACCTCATCCCACCAATTTTTAGCAGCATTTTTCATATGACCGGCTAGAAAATATTTTCATAATTATCAATAAATATCTTCGAGAACTTGGAAAACTGTAAAAATTTGGTTTATTGGTTTGTAATGAGCAATGGTTTTCAATTAAATTTTGATGACCTTATTAAAAAAAAATTTTCAAAATTTCTTACTTCTATTAATGACGATATTTTGCATATATTTGTAAAGATTTTCGCCTTTATTATTACGTTCAGAAGGAGTGGAATGTTTCCACTGACAGCGATCGGCCCACCACTGCGCTGTTTTTTCTAGTTCACAGTCCCATCGCTAGAAATAATTAAAAGGTGATACTTAGGATGATAATAGATAATAGATAGAAAATTTTATTTGCCACCCTAAGGACAAAAAAATAAATATTTGGTGAGAGATAAGATTTAATGCTAACACCTGTAGCTCCGTTATTTCTAGATAAATTCAACACTAACCAATTTTCTAATGTCGCTACCTCGTGGCATGTAATTTGTGTCAGTTCGTACTTTACCAGCAGCCAACTGAGATCGGTATTCATTATGCCAAAAAAGTATTTGACTACGTTCTTGCATAGTAATTTTTGAACCTGAGCATTGTGTTACTTTCGATTTTGTTGCAGGATTTTTTCGAGATGGCGCTTTGTACGACTTTTTGCCGGAGATACCGAGTTTTTTCTTCAATGTAGCGCCATCGAATTCTCCTAGAATATAAATGAAGGAATTAAAATTTTAATGAACTAATATAAATTAAATTATTCCATGAGAAGAAAATTACCAAAGTCGACAGTAAGGAGAAATAGAAATGGAATTAAAATAGAGTATTTCATATCGAATACGAGAATTATGATATGATATGAATGGTTCAGAGGCTATCTTTATAAAGATTTCTATACGTGAGATATGAATAGTTGTGAATCTAAAATCACTATAGGATCGCTTTTATCGTAAATAGCCAAAAATATTTACAAAAGAACGATAGCAGTACAATTTTCATTAATTATAATATAATATAATTTAATACAATTTTAAATAATAATAATTAAATAATAAATTAGAGGAAATTTATATTATATTTATATTATATTATATTTTTATATATAAATATTACAATATATTTTATAAATTTTAAATATTATATTTTTATAAATTTCAAAAAATTCTGTTTTATTTAGGAGAGCAAAATTTGTTTTTCAAAAATTCGGATGATGCTTACGACTCTATTAAATTCCTACCGCCATGTAAATGGTGAATTTTGAATGGTTCAACAAGACGGCAGAAATGGTAAGCATTTTTATTTATAATAATTATTATAATTAATTGAATTATTATAATTAATATTTAAAGGAATTTAAGTAAAAAATATAATTAAAAATATAATAAAAATTTCAAAGATTAAGAAGAATAGAAAGAGCCTAAAAAATTTGTAGATTTTTTGGCTAATTTAGCGATTTAAGTTTTCAGGGTTAAAATTTCTGTTGATTGGTTCAATAATTTAAGACATTTTAAATCATTCACTAAATTGAAACTGCTATAAGCTGCTTAGTCTACAGAGTTAACTCTTAAATAAGGGTATCATTTAGACTTCTGTAATATTACTCCAATTGTGGACGTAATTGTTCATCAGATCTTCTATTCTACACACATTTTATACTTAAGATAATTATTAAAATTCCATGTTTTTTGAATTAAATAATCAAAAAAAGGCAATTAATAATCGGTATTTTGTGCCATCGATGCAAACTTACCCTTCTTTTATTCATCTCAATTCTATCTATGATTTTCATGCTTTCAACAGTGCCATAAAATTCTAATTGTTTCCATTGCTTTTTTATCTTTCAAACTTTTTTGTGTTTTACTTATTAAAGATTATTATTTTTTAAAAATTTTTGGAACTCATAAATAAAGTACTTGTAATTTGCAATTGAGCCGATGCTGAAATTAACTTATAATTATATTCCTAACTAATCCACTAGCAAACCTCATTTGAATTATCTATGGAACCAAGTAGAGCAAAAATGATGAGCGCTTTTAGAAGTGAGAAAAACCTATGGGTTCAATGGGTTGAGCAAATTGTCTTGTTAATTTTAAAAAATCAGTAAGATTTGATTCTATTTTGAAATAAAGTCTAAAATCTTCACTATTGCTATTCATCTATTTACCACTTATTCATAATCTCTTATGCCTCATTTTATTCAATCAATTATCACAGTGAAGGCATCAAAGAAACTGATAAAAATCGAACAAATATTACATTTCGTGAACAAAATTTTTATGCTAAAATTATTAGCGAAAAATTTTATCTGCACTAAAAAAAATTTAATAATGGTGATGAAAATTGTTGCTCTTATGTGTGGCGATGCTGGATTCTGGAGTTCCATTCCTGGAGAATTTCTAAAAAATTCTATGGACAATCTATCTCTATACCACTATTCTTCGAAAAATTCTAGCTTTTTTGAAAAAATCTATGAAGCGTGACTCGAACCTAACCAGCAACGGTGTTTATAGAAAAAAGGAAAAATTTTCCGAGCATTTTTCAAATGTTTTATTAGCAATATAGGTTAATTATGACAAAAAAAAACTTTATTAGATTCTCTAAAATCTTTTATTGTTTTTATATCAATGTATCAATGTTGTAAAAAGGTGTCGATTGCATTTTTAAAATTGCCTGTAGGTACCAAAAAAATGTTAATCTTCATTAATATTTGCCTGACTAAATGAATTATTATGGCTTCTTTTTATTCTAGCATTTTTATATTAGTTCTTCTGGCTTGTCAAAATGGTCGAGTTTTTCCAGAAACTTGGCGACGAAAATAAATCGCCAGAACAATTCAGATTTTTTAAAATAAGGCTCTCGCGTAGATGCTCCAAAATAACGATGATATATCCCAATTATTATCCTATCTTTTCAATATTTTTTAAATTTTAATTTCAATAATTTTATTAATTTACAAATAACAAATTCATCCTATTATTATAAATACTAAATATTATAAATACTATTCATCGTATATATTTGATTAAGTGCTTAAATGAAATCGTGCATATTATAAAATATCAGATGAATAAGCGAAAACCATCGAAATTGTTGGATTTCTTTTATCACCTTAGCTTATTCAGCTGTTTGCTTTGAACTCTTGATGCAAACGATGAATAATTATTGTTGTACAATAAAAAATGCCTCATATCGCTCAAAAATAAAATAAAATACTTCGATTGACTAATTATATTTGCTTGAAAAAAAAATTTTTTTTGATAAAATGGAATAATCATTATTTATTTTAATTGCAATATGATAAATTTAATTTTTTCATTTAAAATTTAATTTTTTGTATAAAACTATTTTGAATAAACTGTGGAAAATCAACGCTATAAAAATTAGAACATAGAAATAAAAATTACATAAATAAGTAAAATATAAATAAAAAATAGTAATATTAAAAAATAAAAAGTATAAAAGATCGAAGAAATGAAAATGTGTGTGTAAAGAAATATAATTCTTATGCCACCGAACAAAGCCTTGAATATTTTGCCATTTTACCATTGAGTTACTTGGGGATAGAATTACAGGTGGATCCACAGCAACCACTTGGATTTTTGATATGTCAAGTTTATTCCTATCAAAGATAGGCATAATTATTTTATAATATTATAAATTTTATATATATATTTTTATTTATTTATTTCAATTCTATATTTTTGAATTTAGAAAAAAGAAAGAAAGAAAAAAACTTAGCTCATAGTTTTATAGAAACAATATTCGAAAAAGAAATTACAACGGAACAGCAATGCAATCGCTCAAAGTCGAAATATTTGATTAATATTCCAAGCGTCTTATCCTTGTAGCCATTGGAGCCAGCCTAACCAGTAATAGTGAACTATTAGATGAAGAAGAAGAACAAAGCCTTTCCTAGAAAATATGCGAAACCTCATAAAACAGACTCAACTAAAAGAGCGATTAAAATATTCAACATACAAACTCTATTGGAACTTTAAAACAACCGCAAAAAGGAGAATTGAAACTAATCGCCATTTACAATGAATATAAGAACATTCATGCGGCTTAATATGTAATCCTTTCACTGCAATTAAATAAAATTCAACCGTTCGACTGAAAATTTTGGGTGAAAGTAAAAAAATATTCACCTATTAGAAAATAGAAATTGCAAATAGGCTTAATCAATTAGTTTAGCTATTTCAAGCGAAATAAAGGAAGCGTAATATTGAACTCGAATCTGTGGTTTCATCATAAGTAAACCAATATCACCAACATTGCAAAAAGAAGTTCGAAATTATGATGCCTTTTAAAAGAAGTGTTTTGAAGATTTTCATTTATAAGAAATTAAATACCGATGATTGAAGATTGGTTTCGAGTCCGACTGAAGCAACACGCGGATGTGACGTGCCTAAAGAAAGGAGAATAGAATAACTCTACTTAATTCGGGATACTCTGGTTTTTATTTCTGGCAAAAGTAAACCTATCCTTCAAAATTCCAGATGATGCTGGCTCTGCATTTCTAACGTGGAATGACTCTGCTATATATGTCTACTTGGACATGCCAGCCGAGCGAGTCTAGCCAATAGTAATGAGAGATAAATGTGAAAATTTTAAATGGAAAATTCCGAAAGTCTGTTACGTCTATTATTTATAATATATGAATGCCTCCCAAATTTTTGAAATTTAAAAATTAAATTTAAAAATGATCAACCACTTTATCATTTTTTAACAGCTTATAGTTTTAACGAGGTGGCATACTTCTAGAAACAAGTAACTGTAGTTCATGGGTTTTCATGCTATAAATACGATAGATCTTACGCTAACTAAAATATATCAAAAATATCTCCGAATGGAGATCTCTTTCCGCAATTCTTAATCTCATAAGTCCGATATTCGTAGTGACAACTTTTTTTTTGTCTTTAAAAACTTTTTTTTTGTCGACGCATGCCGTATAGCATATCAGTTATGGAATCAATTTAGCATAAAGTAATAGATATTATGAAATATGTCCAATTATGTCCAGTATAATGCTATTTTCTAATTGTTATCTAATTATTATCATTAACCATTATCATCTACAGAAAAAGCCGTCACAATACTATCTAAACATCTTTTGCTGAAACCTAAGCTTATAAAAAAAAAACGAAGCAATCGAACTAGAAGATAATCTGATTATTGATTATTGATTATGACCTTAAGATTGTAATTTAAAATGAAAGAGAATTTTTATTACCTATTTCAAGCAAGAGATATTCAGATAAATCATTCAAAAATTGAGGTGATAAAGCAATTTCAGCCACAAGATTATCACTAATACATTCAATTTTATGTCTATTTTTCTTTATTTGCTATTTCTCTTTTTGTAGCTTTTGGTTGCAATTTTTTGTATTTTATATCGAAATTAGTAATTTCTTGTTAATCATTTGTCACTAATCACTAATTAATCATTTATTATTGTTATTAATGCAAGCACATTGCATATGTCGCTCTTTTGGGCTATTTTCAAATGAATAAAGTATATTTCAAAAATAGTAGCAATAATTTTATTATTAAAGTTAATTTTAATAATTTTATTATTAATTATTATCAATATTAGCTGTTATCAAATATAATCAAATCGGATAATATAATCAAATCGGTGTGCAATATTGACAAGTTTTGTTACAACCTTTTTTCAAATTATCTTTGAAATCTTGTGTTAGACCATTTTGCATATGGCAATACTGTTGTAAAGTGTTGCAATTATTGTAAAAGTCTTTGCAATAAATTGCTGAAAAAAATTACTTGAAATATATTAAAGGAAATAGGATTGTCGACTTTTCGAGATTAAAAAGAGCTAACCTGGTCCGCCGCCAGCGCAAAGATTTTTCTCACATTTTGATCGAGGATATCGTTTGCATTTGGAGCAAGGCTTCCCCACTTCATATATTGGTTCATTGAGCGTATTTCCCCTGAAATATGCAATTAAAAATCCTACAAATCAATATAATTTTATTTAATTTAACTAGAAACCTACGGTGGATCGTAGTGGCATACGACATATAGCATATGTTTTAAAAGTGGATTGGAATAATCTATGCAATCCGTTTTCATACCACAGCCGATTTTATAGGTTTCGAACCATGCCATCTTAAAAATTCCGACTTATTAATAAGAAATCCTTTATAACGGCGATTTAGTGAACTCTCTCTGGCTTGAGAATACTGTTTCAATAGTGTTTCCAACAATGATGATGATCAACTTGATTTTCTCCGAACTAACGAAAAAATAATACAATAATTTATGCTGAAATGTTTTCTCTTTGTACAAGTGGGAACATGCCTGAGTAAAATGTCCAATCATCTTTGGCTTTACTGAGTCCACGAGTTCTCTTGTGAAATTTAATATGGGTTTTGTCATTAATTTCACCTCATCCCACCATGCTTGAGCAGCTCTTTTCATGTGACCAGCTATAAAATTTTTTTGCATAGCCTCTCGAATTAAAAGCTATAAATCTGGTTTATGAATATGAGTAGTAGTATTTTTCAAAGAGTTTTATAAAAGGTATAGAAAGTCGAAATTACTTCTATTGACAGGGAAATTCTGGTTAACTTTATAAAGATTTTCTCCTTTGTGATTACGGAACGATTCGTCGGAATGTCTCCATTGGCATAATTCAGCCCATTTTTGTGCAGTTCTTTCCAGCTCACAATCCCATTTCTAGAAATACAAAACATACTGAAGGAGATATTTAATCCAGAAGATTTTTATTTGTCTAAGAATAGAGAGACTTTTGGTGACTTAACAATCGTGACTAACCAATTTTCGAATGTCTGCGCCTTGTGGCATAATATTATCCTTGGTTCTCACTCTACCAGAAGCCAATTCGGATCGAAATTTATTATGAGTGGCAAGTATTTGACTACGTTCTTTTAGAGAAATCTTTGTGTTTGGACATAAATCCTTTGCAACTTTTTTTGAACTAGTAGGAATTTTCTTGATTGTGGCCTTCTTTGTTGCACCATTCAATTCTTCTAGATTATAGGATATGCATCAAGTTTATGGAAATTTTCAAGATCGATTGATTGATTGATAATAATAGGTGAAATTATAATAAACTTATCAATTAATTGTCCTATGGGAGAGAAAGAAATTACCTAAGTAGGCGATGATGAGAAATAGAGAAATGAAATACTTCATATCGGCTGAAGTGGGGAACTGTAATATGAATTTCAGGCTACTAATCTATGTTTATAAAGGCTTCTATACGTGAGAAATGAACTAAACTCGAAAGATAAATCGAATTATTTTATATAAAGAAAATGATAACGAATACAATCAAAATCAAATCATTTTTTGAAAAAAATTTTTATATAATTAAAAAATATATCGAAAAAAAAGTGAAATTGCCTTCTATAAATATTGATTTCGAGTTTTTTTCGACAGAAATTTTTTTAAAATCCATAAGGACAATGGTTTATTTGTGAATTTTTCATTAAAGTCTGGGATCTTCTAATTTATCAAATCTAAAATTTCTATTCCCAGCAAGATTAAATGTTTTGTCAAAAAGTCGGGTATTGTTGTCGATTTAACTTTATTTTTATCACTGAGTGGTCGGCGAAATTTGTAGTATGATCCAACTAGCCAGCCAAGGAGCAAGCCTATTGTGAAATGGTGATCGCACTTAGATTTACTTGAAACGTTTGCTCTTTCATGGAAAAAAAATGCTGCTTTTCACTGCTTTCTAGCTCTCCTTGATTTAATACCATTATGAGGCGTTATCTTTCATCAACCTGCGCTTATATTCAATTCATCTCCAATTCTTGCATTTTTCAGTTTTCGATGCCTCTTTGTTATTTATTATTTATCAATTTGATAGTCTATAAATTAATGGAGCTTGATGAAGGTAATACTTTTTCAATTTCTCAAAATTTCTTTCCTAAGACCCAAATTTAAGGCGAAATCATTCGTTTCTCACCGCTTTTCACTGGCTTAGATCGCTTCAATGGCTATTGTAAGAGTTCATTTTCCAAGGCACTTGATCCGATGCAATTCTTAAATAACCGAAGCCACTCCTTTCGTCTATACTTTTAGCCTGATTCTATCCAAGCCTTGATTTGAACTTCTCGTTTTTCGCTTTATAGAGTTTCAGCTTGGCTCTTTAAACTCAGCATAAGCAAAGTTTTTATGCAACATCTTTTTCGAAAAAATTCCTATGTACATTAGCATTTTCCAAGGAGTTTGTTGTTTTTTCAATTTTTATCAATTTTCAATTCTTCAAAATTGAGCTCTTTAATAACAAATTTAATAAGGTATTTTTGATTTGAAAATGCTGAAAATGTTTATGAAATTGATTATTGATAATTGATAATAAATAATTTTCGGTCTACAAACTTTGCTAGCTGATTGAACAAAGATATCACAATTATTTTAGGAAAAAAGTTCCTCAATACTTTCACTTCATATATATATATGTTTGTATTTATATATATTTTTCACTTCATATATATATATGTTTGTATTTATACATATTTTTTATATTCATATATTTTGTCATATTTTATTAAAATTTTGTCATATTTTATTAAAATTTTAGGAAAAAAGTTCCTCAATACTTTCACTTCATATATATATATGTTTGTATTTATATATATTTTGTCATATTTTTTATATTCATATATTTTGTCATATTTAATTAAAATTAAAATCTCAAATTTTTGAGTAAAGAACAAATTGCTATTGCATTGCCATTGTCATCGAAACAAACTTGTCTTCCCTTTTCTCCATAAGCAATTATTGCGGTTATTTGAATGCTTTCTCTATGTGTAAATTTTTCCAGTTATTTCTATAATTTTTATTTTTATGAGAACTGTTTAAATTTTCTAGTATTTTTGAAAAACTGCTGTATTTTAGAGTTTTTGGAGCTCACGTTGTGAAGTTCTAATTTCTATTTCTCTTATAGAATTGATTTGAATTTACCGGCCGAAAAGCCTGTCGAGATGAAAACCTATCGGAATAACCAAAAAGATATTTTATATGATTAAATTATAGAAAAAGAATTTATTCCCAATATGGGTCCTCCGAAGTTTCTAAAATTTTAAAAACTTTAGAAATTTTAGAAATTAAATTTTTTCTTCATATTGAAAAAAAAGATCAAATCAAAATCAAAAATCAAAAAAAAAGTTTGGAATTGTTCGAAGCCACCAAAAAATTATATTTTTTATATTATAGTTATTTTAAATTTTTACTTCATAGTTATTTTAAATTTTTTATAGATTGATTTTTTCCTTTTTATTTTTGAAACCTGGTTGATCACGTGATAATTATTACCTTTTTACCATTTGTGGTTAGATTAGTGTTGCTGATTCGATGGATTAGGCTATTTTGCCATGGAGTCACCGTGCGAAAAAAATTCAGATTTTTGAAAGACATGTTTATTTCTACTGAGAATAGAACGGTGCTCCGAAATGTGAACAACAATCCATTGCGCTATTCTAATTATTATTATCCTTAATTATCAATATCGATATGTAATCAATTAATTTAATTTATATCAATAATTTATTTATAAATGTAGAAATCATTTATCATATATATATTTATATTTACATTTATATTTATATTTATTTATATTTAATTAAATCGTGCATATCATGAATACCAATCGACTAAAACCAAAAACGATAAAAATTGTTGTTTTTTTCCCTAAGTTTATTTAGCTGTAGATTTGAACCTTTCATTATCGCTAACAATTAACTTATTCCATTAAAAATTATTTCATGTGAACTGAAAATTTCAAAAAAATAATTATTGATCAAAGAACGAACAATAATTTTAAAAAAGTAATTTAGCTAATTGAACAGTTCTTTCAGAAACTCACCAATCATAATTTTTATTGAATTTAATTATTAATTTAATTTATTGAATTAAATTTTTGTTATTTAATTTTTATTAAATTTTTTATTTTTCTTATATTTTATTTTCATTTATAAAACTACTTTGAATAATCTGCAAAAAAATTGAAAAATTATGTAAAAATTAATAAAAATTAGTAAATGAAATTAGCATAAGTAAACGTAGAAATATAAATATAAATGGAAAAAAAAAATTAGATATGAAATAAAAATAAAAAGGTTAAAGAAATTTAGTACAGTTCTTATGCAATCGAAAAAAAAAGTTAATAATTTCTTAAACAAACGCGAATTCCATTTAATAATATTCATTCTCAAAATACTTTCAACAAATTACTAAATTGTGATGATAATGAAGCAAAATTCCAGTTGAAATTCCCTGTATAAACACTATATAATTGGCATAGACAATTCTGATTACCATAAAATAAGAAGGAAACTATGTAATGCCACTATCTAGCTGAGCTCAATTGGCTGTTAGAACGGATAAAATTTTTTTACCAAGAGATTTGGCATTTTTTGGCATTTGGCATTTGGCGATTTGACAAGTTGGCATTTTTAAAGATATGTAATTCTTTTCAGAGGCAGCATTGTTAATGCTCCATTAACCCTCAACATGATAATCTTAGCTAATCCACTCGGCTTTTCTACCTCTCTGAATGCCAAAACCATAATTCCGTAGTTTTATTTTTTTTAATGGAACTGATAAAAATATAGCACAGTATTGGTGGTTCTTTTATTTCTGACTTGTTAATTTAACCTTTAGAATAAATGTAATGAAAGGGCAAATTTAACTTTTTGCCGATTCCATTGCAAAATAAGATTGGAAAATTTATTATAATTTTAGCATTTAGCACTAACTTTAACAAGGAGCGGAAAAAGAAAGATTTGCAACCAAAAATTCTTTGTTTAAGTTCGGAAAAATTAGCTAAGAGAATTCGCATAGTAATAGCAGATTTATATAATACTTAATTCTGCACTGTTCTTATTTTACCAATAAAATCCTCTCGTCTAAAGAGAAAATCTTACAACTGTGGTTCAACAAGTTATAGTTTCACTGAGAAATCCTCTATGCCACATTGTATATCTTTGATATTTGTGATAAGATAGGAGAGAATTAGAATTTCAATGCTCGTACGAAGCATAATTTCATCACATGCAGCCAATATTATACGAGTTTTTTTACCAAAAATGATTTTTGGGTTGGGAAATATTCGGTATTTTGGGTTTTTTATGAAACAAGAAATATGATGAAATAATTGACACTTTCCAATCAAATTTCCACTCCTACAGTATATTAGATGTTTAATTTGATTAAATTTGACTTTTTTTTTAAATTTAAATATTAAGAAAAATAAAAGTAATAAAAATGGCATTTTGTGGGATTTAGGCTTAGATTTAGAGCCAAAACCGAATTGCAAATATTACACTGAAATCGGTGCTGAAAGTCACTTGGAGAGAAGCATTCTTTAATCTAGTGAGAGCTACACTGCACCATTTAATCATGAATTACTGTGTACATCACTGTGATAAAAAAAGTGCCTTCCCTCTCAGCTAAGCATAATAAAACTCAAAATAGAGGGAAATGACTTCAACCAAGCTTCGTGTATTTGTATGTGCCCGATATCTATAAATGTTTTGATGTGCACGGACAATACTTTCATGCATCCATGTATATATGTAATCGATTGATAATTCCTCTTTTTTAACAGATTTTGAGCAAAGCTTATGCTTATCATTTTCTTTATTAGGTGCGGTTAGATATTCATCGCCATATATGAAATATGCGCTTCAGAAGATGAGAACACTACCTAAACATTAAATATTAACATATATATATTATCATATTATCATATATTATATATTATTGTAATATTATATTATTTTATATATTATTTATTTTATATATTGTTTTAATATTTTAATATTATCTAAATATTGACTCTTTTTTTTAAACAAAGTCATTTGGAGAAACTTACACCTTTAACCCAGATTTTAATTATTTAACATGTTTATTCCTTTAAAAAGGATGGATAAATAAATTCTACGGTTTAGAAAATGAAAGGCTGATAAAATGTATTAGTATTAATAATATTATTACTATTATTTTTTTTCGTTATTATTATTTCTTTTTCTTATTTTTCTACTATTGTTATTATTATTATTGAGTTATTTTTATTATATTATTATTATCGTTACTTACAGAGAAAGAAAAATGTAAAATGGCGATAAACGAGTGGCCAAATGGCCAAAAAAAAAATCGTTTTACTAAATTTTTAATTAATTAAAGAATTTTTATATTATTGTTTCTTAAGATAATTTGATAAGGTTCGGAAAAGTTTTCTTTTTCAGTTTTCTTTTTACAAAGGATTTTACAAAAATTTAAACTTTAAATCGATTCATGCTCAAACCTTTAATTATTATTTCGTTATTATAATTATTAAATGTTTCGAGAGCAATCTCAGTCATTAAATTTAGATAAATTTGGATTCCAAAAAAGCCATCAAAATAAACAGGCGATGCGCATTATAATCCCGCCACCATGCTGAAGAGAGGTTTTTTTTATTATAGCTTTCGTATATCTATAGGTTTCTTTGAGAGTGATATCAGTAATCATAAATCAATAAAAAAAACATAAATACTGATAATGGAATGTAAAAAGTATTGAAAATAGAATATAGAATAAAGAATATAGTCTTAAATTGTGTTGAGGAAATGAAGAAATTTATTTTAATGCACTTATCATTATCATTCAAATTATAATTGGATCGAAATTTTTTCCTATAAAAAATTTAATTTCCTGTAAACAAATTGCCTAATCAGTACAATATCCACATGTTTTATTACAACGTTCTTTCATTTGCGCTAAGTGTTGCGTACCATATTTATCGGTACAGTATTCTTTATCGCAATTGCTATAATAGTCCTTGCAATAAACTGCTGAAAAGAATGATTAAACAGTTAAATATTATTGAAATGAACGAAATACGAGATATAATTTTCATAAACTGGTCAGCTTATCACTTATCACTTATCACTGCTTATAATTATTTTTCTATAGTTAATTAATTTATGTTATCCTTGAAACTAAATCCAGAATTTACCGTATTCAGCAAAAACAATTTTAATGCTTTATAATCAATGAAACAAATTTAGATACCCGATTAATTTCGAAAACTACAAATTTGAATTCCTAAATTGTGGATATTCCAAATTTAATTTTTTTTTGTATAAAAACCTGGTCCGCCACCAGCACAAAGATTTTGGGCACATGTTGATTTCGGATATCGGCTACATTTCAAGCATGGCTTTCCCACTTCATATATTGGTTTTGTGAGTGTATTTCCTCTAAAATATGAAATTGTCATATAATTATAAAATAAAATCTAAAATTTACTATAATTTTAATTTGTCTAGAAATCATTTACCGTGGATCATAATGACACACGACAAATAACATGTGTTTTAATTCCGAAGTTGAATCTATACAATCCGTTTTCATTCCACAACCAATTTTATAGGTTTCGTACCATGCCATCTTAAAAATTTCAGTTTTTTTATTAATTTGTAAAGGTTTGTGGAGCTCTTTCTCGATAGTAATGTCAAAATGAATTCCATTCTCATCCATTTCTAACCATGTTAATTTTCGCTAGCGAGAATATGTTGTTAATAGTTCAAGTTTCACAAAAATTTATCTTTATCGCAGTTATCTGCATATAAAGTTCGAGCATATACACCGGAATATTACGGAAGTTTCTTTTAAAGCACGCGTGGACTATACGGTCGTTTACTGGCTTCCACACGATCAAAGCTGACCGAACTTCTTTTTATAGATGAAAGTCACTATGCTATTTCTCCTCATTTTACCCGAAGCACCTCAATAGCCAATAGCCAATACTTCTACTCGGAGTCAGGTTTAATAATTGCTCGAGAATTGATCATATTCTCAAGGCTTGGGATCGTTTATTATACGCAGATTGCATACATATCGCATCACTACCAGGCTGGAAGTATCATACAGTTAGAGGATGCAGATGCCAAATGTCAAAAAGATCTGACCTTTTTGCTATAAAATCATCCGGATGGAGGTCCCCAGCATCCACTCGAACTTTGATCATAGCAGAATTACTCTTATCAAAGAAAGAGATGAAGAATTAAGGAAAAAAGATGAAAATAGAAAATGAAATATCAAATGAAAGAAAATCAACTTTAAAAAAAGAGATCTTATTGCATGATAGAGATTACTCGAAAACTTTTTGAATTTCAAAAAAAAATTATAAGGATAGGAAATAATAATGATAAGGATTTACTGATTGATATAGGTATAATATTACGTCATTCTCGGGATATTAACAAATAACATAATTTAAATATTTCTTTTGCCAAAAGTAAAAGAGTACCTGTGTAAAATGTCCGATCATTTTTGGCTTTACAGAGTTCATAAGTTCTGTTGTGAAAGTAGTTGTAGGTTTTGCCATTAATTTAACCTCATCCCACCAATTTTGAGCAGCCTTTTTCATATGACCCGCTAGAAAATATTTTCATAATTATTAATAGATATCTTCGGACATACTGCGACATTTATCGAGGAATCACCCTACTAGACGTTTCAGTGAAAATTTTTGCTTCCCTTTTACTCATCAAACTTATAGAAGTAAGAAACAGCACGATGCGCCCTAATCAAGTTGGATTCAGACCGGGGCGCGGTTGTACTAACCAGATATTCACCTTAAGAAGGATGTTGGAACATCGCTTCAGAAATTTGCAACCCACTGTCACGTGTTTCATCGACTTTGCGGCTGCTTTTGATTCAATTGATAGAGCGGCGCTTTGGAGGGTGATGGAACGTGATGGTGTTCCAGAGAAAATCATTAGACTCATAAAGGCATTTTATGAGCGCACGTCGACGCAGGTCTGTGTATATGGGGAATTGACAGACCCCTTCAAAATAAGAACTTGTCCGTCAAGGTTGCGTTATTTCCCCTACAATATTCACTGTTCACTGTGCGATAGACTGGGGAATGGGCATCGCTTGTCGGCGCTCAAAGGGTATCGAAATCAGTCCAGAGCATCGTATCATAGATTTTGAATACGCTGATGATGTAGTCTTTTTTGCTGACAGTTATGACAAAATGCAAGTGATGCTAATAAAGTATAAGAAACTGTAGCAAGAATAGGACTCAGCGTCAATGCATACAAAACGAAACTCCTTTCGTCATATGTACAAGAAACTGATAAAATACCTCTTTTTGCCAGTCGACGAAGTGCCCTATTTTAAATACCTTGAGTCTAATACCAAATGGCCAGGCAAAAGACGATATTATAGCCAGGATCATGGCAGCTAGAAATGCGTTCTTCCGGTTGACGAAACCTTTATGGAGCCATCGTGCAATTACCATTAAAATAAAAGTCATCTATATAGCCATGATTCTTTCGATCTTGCTATATGGTTCTGAGACAGGGTCAATTGCCAATGAGAGTGAAGGATATCAAGAAGTTAACTGGTTTTGACCACTCTTGTCTAAGGTATACTTTACTGATCAGTCGAACGGATAAAATATCACATAATCGCATCCACCTTCGTTTCACCACCCGTATTAATAATGTTATCACAGAGCGTCGCCTTCGGTGATTAGGGCACGTCCTCCATCGTCCAGTTGTAGCATATTTCGTTACTTGATAAACCATATGATGGATGGCGTCAAAAGCGAGGTGGGCCAATGAAGATCTGGACTGATACGGTTAGAAAAGATTTTGAACGTATAGATGGACCAGCAATATATGGACTTAGATGATGGAAAAAGGAATGGCTTCTATTACTGTCGACGATGGGGATAGAATGGCTCAGTGGGTTATTCAATTCGGAACGCTAATGCTGAGGTTAGATTCCCCGCAGGTGTAAAACTGTACAAAAATCCGGTGATGCTGGCGACGTAAGTCCTGTACTTCTATCGCCAAGGGATCCCCTGGTATATTTGTCCAATGCGACAAGCCAGCAGGGCGAGTTTAACCAGTAATTGTGAGGACTCTTAAAAGAAAAACTGTCGACAATAGCATTAGACTGCGCCGTTTGGAAGCGTTTTACCTTTGTAGCCATTGGAGCCAGCCCAACCAGTAATGGTGAGAACTAGTAATGTTTGAAGAAGAAGAAGAAGAAGAAGAATAGATTTCTTCGAGAAGAACTTGGAAAGCTATAAAAGTTTAATTCTGGTTTAATGAGCAAAGATTTTCAATTAGAAAAAACTTTACAAAAAATGAAGAAAAAGAAATTTTAAATTCGCTTACTTCTATCAATGGGGATAGTTTGCTGAACTTTATAAAGATTTTCTCCCTTGTAGTTGCGATCAGAAACGTCGGAATGTTTCCACAGGCAGCGATCAGCCCACCACTGCGCCGTTTTTTCTAATTTACAGTCCCATCTCTAGAAATACAAAATAAATTAAAGATTTTAGCGCAGAAATTTTTTATGCCTCTCTAAGAAAGAGTAAAGAGAATTCAAGAAATCACAATCCATTTAGTGCTACTAACAACAATCAACAGTACTCTAACCTAGAACTAACCAATTCTCTGATATCTGAACCTTGCGGCATAGTACCATTTCCAGTGCTCACTTTACCAGCAGCCAGTTCAGATCGTAACTTATTGTGCAAAGAAAGTATCTGATCACGTTCTTCTCTAAAAATCTTCGAACCTAGGCACAATTTTTCATCCTTGATTGGAGCTGTTCTATCGCGTTTCTTCTTTGATATTCCATCGAGTACTCCTACATTGTAATTTATATATCAAATTTATGAAATTTCTATTTTTATCTGTATTTTTTTTACGCTAATAAGCATTAATTAATATTCAAATATGAGAAATATTAGCTTCAATTATTTAAAAAGATCATTGTGAATAATATGAATATTATGAATTAAACTTTATATATTATAAAAATACAGAAAAATACAATAAATAAAATAATATAATATAATAAATATTATAAAATATAATAAAAATTAATATAATAATAAAAATTAATGGAAATTAATATTATTCTATGAGAGAAGAAAATTACCTAAGTGGGCATTTAGAAAGAGAAATAAAATGAGATGTTTCATACCGAATACACTTATAAGATCTGATACGATAATTCAGACTATCAGCCTATCTTTATAAAGGTTTCTCGAAACATGAGATAATGCGATTCCAAAATCGTTGCATATAAAGCTTTTCATAAGTGCCATATTTCATATAAAAACGATAAAAAAATACAATTATCGCGAATAACGAATCGTATTATTCTTAAATAATAAATCCATATAAATTTATGAAAATACAAATAAAAATGCATTGAAAAAAGCAAATAAATTGCTTTTTATAAATATTTCTTTTAAACTTTTTTATAAAAAAAATTTTTTAAAATATTTTCTGCATGGATAATAGAAATCTAAATTTATCTGTTGATTTCTTTCTTTGAATTTACAGTTTTGTAAATAAATATTTATTAATTGTAAATAAAAATTTACAATTTTCTAAAAAAAAATTTTAAATTCTTTCAATAAGTCTATTTTTTTGTGACAAATTTGTTTTTATAGGTTGCATTTGGGAAAAAAACAGTTAAGAAAAAGCTTTAAGTTGTTCGTCTTCGCTATCTTCGAGTATTTTTTGAGGGGCGCAACAGGGTACGAAGATTTTTAATGAGTCAACAGAATCAAAAGAGATTATTATGGAAGTACAACATGGAAGTCTGATGCTGATGACGATATTCTTATTGGTGAGGCAGTAAATAATTTAGAAACTTGCCAGATTAAAGCCAAAATCGAAGTCGAGTAAATTTTCTACTTTCACAAGCTTCTATTATCACGATTTTATAATAAGTCTTGGTTGTAAAAATAAGAAAAAAAACGACAACATATAAAATAAGCAGGAAAGTACCAAAGCAATTAGTAAAATTGCCTATTTATAATCGATTTTCGATGGATTTTGTATGAATGATGAGTGTAAGAAAAAATATTTAGTGGAAACTGAGCAATTTTAGAAAATTTTGCAATTATTATTGGTAACAAGAGAATAATCGCCTCATATAATTTCTATATTAAAATATTATAAAATATTTAAAAAATATTAAACATTCATTGAGTATTAAATAAAATATTAAAAATATAAAAAATATAAAATATGAAAATAAAATATTATAAAATAATATTAAATAATATTTTAATATTTTATAAAATATTAAAAAAAAATACATTTAATAATTCTACATTCAATCATAATGATAAGTAGCAACACTTTATCAGTTTGTACCTTAGCCAGATGATGCTTTTAAGAGATGAATATGAAATTTTGAGAAAGAACGACAGATCTTATAATTTTCTTATGAAAGAATCTTAATATCTTAAAAAATGCTTTATAACTAAAAGCTTATTTTCTAATTTGTTGTAAATTAAAAAGTTTATGATAATAATTCTTTATAAGAAAGAATTGAATAAGAGTCTATAAATTTTACCTATAATTAGAAATTATAATAATTAAATAAAATAAAAATTTACAAAAATAAAAATTTTATAAATTATACATTTATTTCATATAATGAATAAATGTATGATTTATATAATGAATAAATAATTTTAATTCAATCGCTAAGTTGGAGGAAAATAAATTCATTTCGTTTAATAAGAAGAAGGAAAATAAATTCAGTTCATTCAGTAATTTAAAGGTAAAACGCCAAAACGCTTATAGACATTGCAAGTCAAACGATCACAATCCACATATCGTGTGGATATCGCTTACCTTTCGGAGTTCCGTCTTCCTCACTTCGGGTCTCGAGTAATTACTAATCCTGGTTCGGAGCAGAGATACTGGCTATATCAATGTGGTGCTTTGAATAATTCGCGACAAAATGGCGTAGAGATTGTCATGTTTGACAAGGACCATTCCGCTTTGATTGAGTGGAAACCGGTAAGCGATCTCATGGCCTATGCACGTTTTAAAGATAAGTTCTATGTCTCGGTTAACAATGTCTTTACTCCAACTCTATCGACAGATGATCTGGATAACGATAAATTCTACGCGGAACTTCAATTATTAACAAAATCTCTACCGAAATATGATATAATCATAATCGAGGAAGATTGGAATGCTCACGTAGGTCATGATGCCGTTACGAAGTAATTGGCAAATATAGCATCGGAAAACGGTGCGCCAATGGAAACGTCTTCGTTATGCCGAAGAGCATAAATTTTTTGTTACAAGTACTTGCTTCCGGCATCATAGAAAACATCTAGTCACGTGGAACTCCCAGGATGACCAACACTTCAACCAGATTGATTATTTTCTTAGTCAGTTGGAAGAGTTCCGTACTAGATAGTCGTTCCTACCGTGGCGCTGAAACGGGCAATCTACATGGATCTGACCATGTTATTGTTCGAGCTGAGATCCGCATAAAATTGATAACTCGCAGAAAAGGGCATCCTATAAGATTCTTCAACTGTCTCAAACTAAAAAATTCGGGGACAGTGAACACATTCCACAATTATTATTAAAGCATCTTAACCATACAAATACCAATGATTTTTCTGGAACGGTAAATGAATACTGGTCCAAAAAAGAAATGTCTCCGAAAGTCAACCACTTCCATGCTAGGAAACAGTAGGAAGTGTGCTAGTTGGGTATCGGAAGCAACTTTACAACTCTCTAAAAAAGCTGCCAAAGCATGAAAGCCAGGTGATCCTGACTACTGGATGCTTCGAAGACTTATAACGAAAACAACAAGGCGGGACAGAAATCTCTATTGGAGTGACTTGGCCTCAAGAATGGAGGTGGCGGCTCGATTAGGCGATAATAGGAAATTATTCCGCCTTCTTCATAAAGCAACTATGACTCGATCAGTGAAATGGTAATGGATAGCAATGGCATATCTCAAGAGTATTAAGGACCGTCTCATAAGATGGAAAGAATTCTTTGAGGTCAAACTTAACCATCAAGCGCCATCTGATATAGCTGATACGTTTGTTGAACCATACGCTTGCAATTGTGAGCCTCCAAGAGAAGAAGAAATAATTTCCGTTATCCATAAGCTTAAAGCCAATAAAACTCGGGGAGAAGATGGTCTGAGTGGCTGAGCTTTTCGAATGTCTATCGTCCTTCATAACGCACCTTCAACAAATGTACTCTATAGTATGGAAAAAAGAAATATTACCGGATGATTGGATCAAATAATGATAAACAACATGTCAACAAATCGGCCAGAATCGGACTCAGCATCAGTGTAAATAAGAGATGTGCAAATAATCCAGAGCATCATACCACAGATTTTGAATGTGCTGATGATGTAGTCTTTTTTGCTGATAGTTATGACGAAATGCAAATAATGCTAAATAACGTGTCACCAATTGCAGCAAGAATCGTACTCAGAATCAATGTAAATAAAACGAAAGTTTTATTGCCTTATGTGCTGATAAAATGCCTCTTTTTATAGATTTACTGCCGGTTGAAGAAGTACGCGATTTTGAAAACCTTGATTCCCCATACCAAATGGCCATATAAAAAATATTACAGTCCGGATCATGGCAGCTAGAAATGCTTTCCAATTAACGAGACCTTTATGGAGTCGTCATGAAATCATCATGAAAACGAAAGTCCGCATTTATATCGATGTAAACCCTTCGATCTTGCTATATAGTTCAGAGATATGGCCAATGAGAATGGAGGATATTTAGAAGTTATCTGCCTTTGACCACTCTTGTCTAAGGTACATATTACGGATCCGTCGAGCGGATAAGATATCACAAGATCGCATCCATCTTCGTTCAAATACCACTTGCATTAATAATATTATCACAAAGCTCGGCATTCGCTGGTTAGGGCACATTCTCCTTCGTCCACCATAAGAGTTGGCGCATATTTCGTTATTTGCTAAACCGTCTGACGGTTGGTCAAAAGCGAGGTGAACCAATCAAGATCTGGCCTGATACGGTTAGAAAAGATTTTGAACGTATAGGACCAGCATTACATGGACTTAGACGATGGAAAGAGGAATGAATTCTATTACTGTCAAGATAGCGTCAGACCGCGCAACTTGGAAGCATCTTACCCTTGTAACCATTGGAGTCAGCCTAACCAGTAGTGGTGACAGTTGTTAGAAGAAGAACGAAGATAAAGTAAGTTAAAGGAAAATAAATCCAGTTCAGTCACTAAGATGGAGGAAATTTATTTAAATTAAAGCATTTCCATCTACCTGAATTTATGACAATAATAAGAGCAATAGGAAATTAATATTTATTACATATAGGTCAAGTCGAATGGTGAAGGAAAGAAAATTTTTAAATTTAGAGATCACAAAATAATTTTTCCCTTAAACTTTTCTTAGTGAACCAGTAATGCACCCGAATTTTCCTAGTTATTCTTATTTTCCAATTTTTTATCGTGGTTTTTAAAAATTATATTCTTTTTTATGATTTGTTTATAACTTTTGTTAACTTTTTTGTCGTTTTTTTAAAATTTTATAAAGCATATTACTGTTCAATTATATTATATTAAAAGTATAATTACCCAAGTTTGAGGAACCTAAACGATAAGTTCAATGAGAACATACATGAGAACATTCACTTTAAAAAGCGAAGCCTAGTGGTACGCATGATAGGCAAAATTTCACTACTTGAATATATTATTTTCATGAAAATCTTTGTTTCTACCCTGTATCATTTTCATTTTTCCTCCCTTCATCCTAACATAAATTTGCACCAGAATTTTCCATTTTTTTTCTTATTCGGTTTATATATTCATGGAAAGTTCTATATTTTATGAATCTTCAGTGAAAAAATACAGTAGAACACTGAATAAAGAAGGCAATTAAATAAAGCAAAATTAAAAACCAGTAAACTTGAAGCCAACAAAAATTGTTTAAAATGTGAAATTTTAGGCTATTTATAAATTTTTTTTCTTACTCACCATTAATCACCATGATTCTTACCCATCTGATCCGTTAAACGAGCCTAATGAGAGTGGTGGGAAAAGTTCATTAAATTCTTATGAAGAATTTCTTAAGATTATGAAAAACAGAGTTTTTTAAAATTTAATCAGCAATTTTTGCAGTAATTTCTATTTTTATTAAATC